TACAACCAAAAAACAAAAGAAATCTTTTTTTTGTTTGGAGTTCAAGAAAGTAAGATATTCAGCCATTGAAGCATCTTAGAAGTCAATAACACTAAATTCAATTAGATAACTTACATTCTAGCAGAAGGTCTATCGCCTTCTGGATTAAGCCTCTGCCACACATATGGTTTCTGTGCAGTGTCCAAAACCCAAGCATCTGATAACACTCTTTTACCTGTAAAGATCAAAAGATCTCTTTTAGGTAGATTCAGCTAACAAAACCAGATGCACTGAATATAAAAAGTTTGTAAAACGTAGCCCAACAAAAACAGTGGAAAAGTATCGAACACCATCACTAAGAAAGTAGCCAAATCAGTAGCCAAGTCAAACCAGTATCATAAATTACATGTGACAGTCAGGTTCTGGAAACATTGTCGGAAATGGTTCCCTAGTGGAAACACTTATCTTTGGATTCTTTAATTCAGTTCAAATTTAACTATCGAAATTTAGTTCAGTTCAAATGGGAGGGTGTTATCCCTCCCAACTCTCTTCCTTTGTCTATTTCTTGCGACCGTGGTTCTCCCATCTTTGACTCTTGCCTATTTTTGTTTGTTTAATATATGGTTTCTTATCAAAAAAAAAAAAAAAACAAATATATTTACCCTTCGAAGGATTCAATCATCAACTAAATTTTACCAAGGCACCTCTAAACTTTGTTGACTCTTAGATTGCTCTTCCACTGTTAGATCCCACCACCAAGAAGAATCCGAAACTAAATTGATCATGAAAAGGTATTGACTGCAAAAACCTTCGGAGAGGTGAATTTTGCATATTAACCAACCGATAGCATAAACTTCCAGAAATGTCCACATTTATAAATGGACATAGCCCAAAGTAGAAAGATAAATGGGATTATATCCGTCCTCTCAATCTTGACCACAGAATCCACCCAGGTCCAGAAATTAAGTGAATTTGAACAATTTGAAATTCACCTCCGTAATTCCCAATGCCTCCAGTATTTAAGGGAAAAAATTATACTTATGTAACAAAATTCCACATAAGAGCCCCTACAGCCAATCAAGAACTCAATTGAAGATTGCAATAACAACCAAATAACACCCTTGACTATTACACAAATGAGATTCCTATGATGCACTAATAATTTTTTAGTTATTCCGATGTATCTTTTACTTGGGAAGGATTGAATTTTGTTATGGAAAAGGTTGGAACTCACCATCATTGCCACTAACAGTAACAAGATATCGCTGTGCAACCAAGTCCATGACATGGCCGTATCTAGGCCCCGGGCCCTGTCCTTGAACTACAACTCTGAACTCCAAAAAGAGTAACAACTAAGTTAAGGATCAACCAAAATAAGTCTACTATGATTAAAAAAGTTGCGAGAATTGAGAATATGCAAAACACAGATCTCTGAAAACTCACCGATGCCACTTAAACTTGTCATTTGTCAGATCGAGCACATACAGGTCGTCTGTTGAATGCCCTGCAGGACCTATGCCACCCTGGCAAAAGACAATTGCCGTCGGTCTATATTTAGATCAAAAAATATTCATTTCAGAGATTCGTAAAATGATACGGCATTTTTAAGTGCTCTAATCACCTGAAACACCACCATGCTGCCAACAGCTGCTGCCGCGTGTGCAGCCCTAGGCGATGGTGGCTCACCCGCTGGTCGAAGTCTAATCAAATCATTAGTAAAAGTAATAAGCAGTTATTCAACATATTACCAAATTCAAACTAAAAACCAGAAATTCAAGCAAAATTCGGCTAAAACAAACAAATAAAGAAAACAAATCGATGCAAGAAAAGAAAACCTGGTCCATTTTCTAGTAAGAACATCGTACGAATGAATACAATTCGTCACTCCAGCTAGCCCTAGAAAAGGAGAAAGCTATAAAAATTAAACAACCGAGTGCATAAAAAGCAGAAGTAAAAGGAAGGCAGAAGTGGGGAGATTACGAATGCCAGGAGCGCCTCCGCTGCCGCTCTCAATTGCGGTAGCGCCGCCGAACAGAATGAGGCGGGGTCCCTGGGTTTTAGTGGCGGCGACGGCGGTGAGGGTATGACCACAGCGCGGCCCCGGCGCGTCGTCATCAGTGTCCCAGAAGCTTTCCAAATTTCGGTAGGCCGGCGCCGGATACAGCCACGGCTTCGATCCCATCCACAAATTATACCAAAGCTAATCAGAGCAGTTAATCCAGCCGCAAAAATGCTGAACCACCGGAGAATTGAAACAAAATCAAACCGAAAAAAGGAAATCCACAAAAACGGAACCCTAGACGGATTAAAGTAGAAGAGGGATCCAAAGCAGCGGCGGTGGGTGCCACCGGAAACTGGACCCTTCACTGGGAGTGGTTGCCAGATAATTTGAATATAAAACACCAACAATTGTTTCTTTTCATGAACCTCTATATATATATATAATTTATATATATATTCTATATGTATGTATATATAATTACTGTTAGTGATATATATATATATATATATATGGAGTGAAGTGAAAAGGTAGAGAGAGATGAAGTTAAGATTCAGAACTAACTGATAATTGGGGCAAACAAAAATAGAAGAAACCCCACTGCTTCAGAGTCAACTATTTTTACAGGCTGTTCAAATTTTCCCTTTTTTTTTTTTTTTTTTTACTTTAATTAATATAATAAACCCTATTTTAAAGTTATGAGTCCAAAAGGTTTACAAAGGTAACTCCATTAATAGAAAAGGTTGGGAATTTGAATTTTTTTTTTTTAAGTGAAATACGAATTTATGATGTTTTAGTGCAAATATTTTTTTCCCTTTTAGAGGGGTGGATCTGTAATTTCCTAAAAGGGACAACGAATAAAATATGCTCCATATTAATAGGAAAAAATTGGAATGCATAAAACTCCCATGTGCTAACAAAAGTCTCAACAAGTTTTTTGCTACAGAATAAATGTGTTCGACTTAATTTAAGAATATTATTTTGAGTCCTAAACAGTTAAATAAATTTCTTATAAAATTGCCATGTGTTGTAGAATTGAATACATACACCAAATTACGCTTTATTACGAAAAACTTGTATAAACTCTTCTCTATAGGTAACGGGCGTTTGACTATTAATGGAAAAAAAAAAAGATTTTAAATACAAAAAAATTATAAGAAAAGTATTTTGCAATAAAAAGAAGGCATGGCCATTTGATGCATATTTTTCTTAACTAAGTGGGGTCATGTTGTTTACCCATGCATATAGTGTGCGCCAAATATTTTTCCTATTAAACCATTGCAATGTTATATTATTATGGGAAAATTAGCAAGACCCCCATCATCTAAGAAATATAGCAAGTAAAATCATCATTCCAATTAATTAGAGCAAATTCATTCCCCTTTAAACTAATCCTTTTATCAAATCTTAATTGTCTAATATACTCTTAAAGAACACTAATCTCATTTATCATTGCTCTCTTCTTCTTTTCACGCCTCTTCTCTCTCTTATTTTATGATATTTTGTTTCTTTTTTCGATTTCTCACCCAAATCTCTGTTTTTTTTCTCTCTCGATCCGGAGGCGAAGAACAAGAGTTATCGGAGCCGCAAGAACGACGCTCCTTCTCCTTCTCTTGGAGATGGCTTTTTTCATTGAGTATTGCTGGAACGAGTTCGAGGAAGATGATTTTTTCGTCGATTTGTTGCCGAAATTGAATTTTGATGGGTGGTGGTTTCTGCTTTGGTTGGTGGTGCGGTTTGTGATTTACTTGATTTATAATAAAAATCGTCAGTGGTGTGGCGGCGGTGTGGTTATGACGGGGAGGCATATCTAGGGTTTTTGGGTGGATCGGCGGAGGACGGCACGGGTAGAGAAATTCGTGTAACCCTTAATGGACTACATGTTTTGGTAGTAGATTAATCGACTATGCTCTGGTAGCCGACTAAAGTGCTAATTGAATGTTTTGGTAGTCAATTAAGTTACTCGACTCATTTTTTAATTCATTTTTGAATTTTTGTGTATTGATTTCGGTTTGTATAAATCAGTTACAATTTATGTATATTATTTGTTTTGTTAAAAAAATGTTGATTTACGTTTTTATGTAATTTCGTTTTTTATTTTTATTTTTGGTAGTCAGTTCCTTAATCGACTATCCTTCATCATAGTCGATTAATATGTTTCATAGTCGATTAATACATCTGATAGAGAAAAAAAAGTTAAAAAAAGAAGAAAAAAAAAAAACAGCTGATGAGGTAGCCGCATAGTAGATGATAGTACTGATGAATGGCAGTAGTATAATTAGAAAATGACTGGCTGAAATTAGAAGTGAGTTTTTTTTTCAAGTGCAAAATAATTTAGACGTCTCCCTATTTAAAAAAAGTATCGAGGGATTATATCAGAAAACCTTATTCATATTATGAAATATTGATGATATTATCTGGTTAAGATTGTCTCGACTTTTTGGCATAAATCAACAAATAATTGGGATTATTTTCTTCACTTATTTCTTTTATTATGCAACATAAATATTATTTACATTTATGTTAAAAGAGAATCTTCAAGCTTTTACAATAAAATAAATATTTAACTGAACTATAACAAAATTACTAAAATACCATTATATGTTTTTCAATATTATGATCATAGCTTTTGCCTTAAGCAAGAGATGGCTTTGTTGTTAAGACTAGAATTAATCAGACTATTTAAAAACAAAATAGTAAAAGGAAAGGAAAGCTAGAACAAAACAATGAAATTTTTTGAATGGTCTTCATTAAAATTTTATTGTTTTTTTTTCTTTGATCATTAGTATTTAAAAAAAAAATATGAAGTCAATTCAACATTACTTTTTATAGGACTTTGATAATTGTTTGAATTGTGTAGAGGGTGTTAAGTAATTGTCAGCTTTATTATATTTGAAGTTGATTATTTTATCAAATTCTTCGACTTGGAAAAGTAGTGTGACCAGTTGTTTCTCTTTGTTAGAAGTTGACAAGGTCATGTGTTCTTCTTATGTTAATAAGATGAATGAGAACTTTTACACCAAGAATAAGAAACGGTCTTAGAGCAACAAGTACTTGGTCCAAAATATTGCTTTCGTTTGGTTGTTGTGAAACTTTTGAGTTCCATATTTATTATTATTTATTGGTTCTTTTTATATAGATGATTATATATTTGAATTTTTTTAGATTTTTATTTCACAAACGACATTATTCATTATTCATATGCAAAAAAATATTATACAGTTTTACATCTCTCGTGTAGTTTGTGAGTGATATTGCTAGAATGTCGATTGAGCAACAAAACAAATGACAAACACTATGTGACACGTTGGATCGGGCTAGGTAATATTCTTCGGACGCTCAAGTTAGAAAACAATGCAAAGTATACACACAAATGCATTTAACTCGTAAAATAGCACGTACCTCAATACGTGAATAAACTAACCTAAACTAATTTAAATATCATTTTTGAATTTTTATTTCTTTGTACTTATTCTTTCTGAGTTTATGTTAAATACTTCAAATATTCAAATCAAGAAGTTCCAATTGGTCAAATCATAGGAAAAAAGAGATTAATTACTAGTCTACTTAAATTAGAATTTCTAAATTAACGTCAAATTAGGCATATTTTTCCCGACTTTGACAAGTAAAACTCATGTAGTTTATAGGTGAGACTGGAGGTAGAATTCTTATGAGAATTGATATGGCACAGGGGATTTTACTTTTTCCATGGACCTTTTAGAAGGCTTTTGAATAAGGGTTTTATCTATCCTACACCCGGTGAAGGTTACACCGGGTGATTTTTTACCGTTGATCTATACATACCAATGTGGGTGTGTGTGTGTTTGTGTGTATATGAATGGTAAAGATCTACCCGGTGTATTTCACCCGGTGTAGGATCTCAAAAGCCTTGAATAAGGGCCTTTGAGGGGGTTTTCCTTTAATGCACTAATCGAGCGTCTTGTTCAAAAATCAACTAGGCACATCATTGCACATCACTTTTGATTGATGCTCATATAGCAAGAGTCGGCCGAGAGTAGTTGATATTGTTTCAAAAACTGGACTCTAGTGTGCTTTAAATTTTGCATTGCGGGCTTAACAGCTCATAGGACGTCGACCAGTGTGGTCAGAAGCTAAATATGTGGAGCGGGGAGGCTCGAGTGGGTCGTTTGAGCAAATCCAAGGTGTTGGTGTTTGGAGGCGGGGCACGAGGATGAGATGAACCATTGGTCTGGGAGGGTGGTGATCGAAGGAGCGAGTGCGAGTTTGCGAAGGACTGGGATCTGGACGTCAGTGCGAGAGAAGTGTTGGTTGTAATACCTACACGCAAGTGCACGTAACAGACAAGTAATATAGTGGACAATTAAATCCAAGTATCGTTCTCACGAGGAATATTCTATTATCTAATTTTAAGCGTTAGATTATCGCAACTATGTCAAGCTCAGCTCACACAGTCGACTTTTAAGTTGATTTAACTAAATTATAGAAAGCAGATTAAAAAGAAAGCAAGAGCATGTAAGAAACGAAGATTAATCATATTAAAAAAATCCTAGGATTTTATCTTCACCTTATGTGATTATTGATCCCCAAAATTCCTACAATTATACTAGAAAATAAGTTGGATTACTAACCTGAGATGCTAAATTAATCATAACCCGCTTCCACGTATATTATAATTCTATTATTCATGACTAAATCGATGTATTCCTAAGCAATTCAATCTAGAACAAAACATTAAGCACAAGTCTCAATCATGGCTATTGTCACAGGGGTTTCTTTTCTCAAGAAATTTTCGCCCGTGCAACCTGATTCCCATCAAATCAATCAGTTTTCCTCTCGAATTCTCTTCGCACAAACGCACATACAAAGTTTTTAAGCCAACGTAAACACAAACAAGAGTATGCAGCAGAAAACAACACAGACGCACGTTTACGGGCACTGCCTAACATTTATATTAATTTCCCACAAAGAATACTGAAACTAAGGTGCACACACAAAATGCTTACTCAGAATGCCCATAATTGCAATTTAAACTCTCTAATACTATATGGGGCGGATTTGTGCACTCATAGCCAAATAAATAAAAGTAAGAAGGTAGTTTACACATTATAAACTACCATTGATACTTGGCAGCATACATACTGAACACTTGGCTAACTATTACAAGTAATAAGGGGCAATTCTGCATGTTTTCCAGGCCTCAGCCGCTCCGCAACTTCCCTCAAAACCGTCATCATGGTCGGTTGTCGGAGTCTGCCTTGCTCGGGCGCGCGCGCGTGCACCAAACAGCCAAAACAGCCCTAACAGTTGCTAGGCAGCTCATCTGCCTTGCCTTGCTCGCACACTTTGCTTGCCTTGCCAATCACTTGCCAGTTCTTTACCCACACGGTTATTAGCACACCTGCTCATCGGGCTGTCTTTCTTGACTTGCCAACGCATCGTGCCAATTTGCC